GCTCAAAATTAGATTTTTACGGTATTAGGAATCAAAACTTAAATTGGATAACAGATTTAACTGACAGGCAACAGCAGGCAATTTTAAATGGTGTTTAATTATCTAAATTAGCTGTTGACTCCCAAGGGAACAGTATTAGGCCCCACATTATTTTCACTATTTATTAATGACTTACCAGAACATGTAACTTGCAATGCAAGACTTTTTGCAGATGACTGCTTATTATATAGAAATGTAAATAATAATTCTGATGCACAATTACTTCAAAATGATTTATCTAGTTTAGTCAAGTGGGAACAGGACTGGCAGATGAATTTTAATCCTGAAAAATGCTATTTAATACATATATCTAAAAAACTTAACACTTCTGCTTTTGATTATACATTGCATACTCATGTATTAGAATCTGTTAAAGACAGTAAATATTTAGGTGTAACTTTAAGCCATGATCTTGACTGGGGAACACATATAAATAATATTACCTGTAAAGCAAATAAAACCTTACTAGGCTTTCGTCGTAGAAATTTAAAAAAAACTGCACACGTAAGGTTAAGATCCTTACGTACACATCGCTTGTCCGTCCAGTCGTCGAATACTCTTCCCCTTTTTGGGATCCTTACAAAAAGCACCTCATCACTCAGGTTGTGCTGTTTCAGCGTAAAGTAGCCAGATTTTTCTATAATTCTTATAAAGACAGAACACCGGCTGCAGTTTGTAACATGATTAATTCCTTACAATGGGACAGTTTATATAATAGAAAAAAAGCTAGATTAACAATGCTATATAAAATTAATTGAAGGTTAGTAGAAGTTCCGAAGGACAATTTAACAAAATCTGATAGACGTACTAGGGGGCAACATAAATTTCGGCAAATAGCAACTAATATAGTCTTCTATAAATATTCTTTTTATCCAAAGACCATCTCTGACTGGAATCCAATACCTTAAGCAATACGTTTGTCTGGAACCCTGGAATCCTTCAAAAGTTACATATCAACTCTAACATTTGAAGGATCCACACCAACTTATCAAACCACAAATCCACTGTACATAATGTATATATGTTATTTATTGTTTATAGTAAATTTATTTAAGTCCATATGTACATAGCACATAAGTTCCAGGAAGTTTAACACTCCTTCGAAGGAACCAACTCCCGTATTCGGAAGAAGAAGAAGGAATCGTGAATGCAATTAAGTGTAATTCTATTTAAAAATCTGTGAAAAATCAGCTGTATTTCTTTTGTATTTTCTTTTGCTTTTTTCTTAACGCTTGGTCAATGTGTAGTAAATAAAATCATTTTTCATCATAATGGAACTTATATTTGCAAAATTCAAAGCTCAGTTAAAATTGACTGAAATGTATGACTTTAAAAGAAAATACTTGAAACTCAATTTCCGTCTGCAGGAACATAAACTTTAATATCAAGATTAAGTTTTGTTGAGTTTTCCTTGCTTGTCCTACTGCTTAAAATACTTTTTACAACTTTTACAATGAGTTTGGTAAAAAATCAAATGTATTGAAGTGTCAAGGAATATTGCCCCCCCCCCCCCTTTGTATTCATCAGGTGTCAATAATTAATCAATAATACAGTTATGGTCATGAAACAATTTTTATTAACTATAAGTCAATAAAAGTTAAGGTAGAAAACTTTTATTTGAGACAATTTATGGGATTGGGCTGAGTTTATGCAGTTTTTACATTAGGCTATGCTATCTGCCAAATACATGCAATGACGAATACTATAACAGGTAAAAATCAAATTGTCTCATACAATCTTCATGGGGACAATTTTTTTTGTGATAAACAATTTTTTTTTTACTGTTTGATATCACAGAAACAACTTACTGTGCATTCCTAGCAATTTCAGACATTTTTTTTATATGCATGCATATTGTAAGGGTGAAAAAGCTGAAAATAGCACAAATTCAGGTGTAAGGCTCTAATCTGGCAATATTGGTCAAAAAAAAGGTTGAAATGTGGCTAATTTCATTTCAAATGATCAGTTAAGAAAAAAAAATCAATTGTTGTCTGATATTTTTGTTTTCATCGCTCTTCGCTTTAAAGAGACCGACAAAAATGTTTATCAGACGTCTTTTGTTTTTGTTTTTTTCTTTTTTTTTCACTGGTCAATGAGTAGTTCATAAAATTATTTCTCATCATAATGCAACTTATATTTGCAAAAATTGAAAGCTCAATTTAAACTGACTGTTCTGTATGACTTTAAAAGAAATATTTGAAATTCAATCTACAGGAACATAAACTTTAAATATCAAGATAAATTTTGATTGATTTTTCCTTGTTTGTTTTACTGTTTTAAAGATTTTTTATAACTTTTACAATGAGTTAAGTAAAACATCAAAGGTATTGAAGTGTCAAGGAATATGGACCCCCTTTTTTCATCAGGTGTCAGTAATGGACCTTTAATTGATCAATAATATAGTTATGGTCATGAAACAATTTTTATTTACTATAAGTAAAAAAAAAAATCGAGCAATATGAGACTTTTTTTTACCTAAAGAAGATTGAAATTTGGCTACTTACATTTAAAATAAGTAGTTAAGAACTTTCACCGCATTTAGCTTAAACGGTGATAAGTTCAAAATCACTATCTTTTAAACCAAATTTTGCAATTTTGACAGCTTTCTAAATATTTTACTTCAAGTTTAACTTCATAAAAACCAGGTATATCCTAAATTGTACATGTATCAACTTTCTACATGCCAACTTTCAACCAATGTTTAAAATGTTGTAAAGAAATACTACCGTTTGAAAGTCAAGTACTACTAAAAATAACCCCTGGTTTTCTGGAAATCTTAAATAAGTATACTATAGAGCGCATTATTCCTCAACTGTTAATGCAAACTCATGGACAAGTAAATTTGGCTCAAAATGGTCTACATATATATTTCTTTCACCAAAAGTTTCATTTCTGCAAATCTGTGTGTTAGTTTAAGTAAAAATGACATCAAAAGCAACATTTGTTGTCCGGGAAGGGCTACTTTTAACTACGTTCTAAATTGAAGTCGGTAATTGTTATATCATGTGTATATACAGATACAGGTATATAACTTCTTTCTTTTAGTTATTGCCAAGAACCAATTAGAGCTTACATTTTTTTATGTCTTTTTTTATATTAAAGTATAGAACAGGCCAACTGAAGGAACAAGGCAAATAATATTGGAAAGAATATATATATAATAGTTTAATTTAGTTGACAAAAGCATAGTCGTATTTCATCATTTCGCATACATACAAACATACGTGCATTTTAAAGATAATCACATATTCTGCCTATTTAAGGAGTGACAGGAAGCTTGTATTAAATGTTTAGGCCACTATATAAACGAATATATAGATATGATTTTATTAACAGGTGCAACAATTGTTGAAAATCCACCACAAGAATTAGCATTATTTGAAGGAGAATCACTCACATTACGGTATAAACTCTCCACAGACAGAGTCCAACCTACGTTGTACAGAAACAATGAAATCGTAGCAGCAGCTGCTTGTATATGAGACAAAATAACAAGTTATTCTAATTTTCTATAAAAAAAAAGATAGGAATAAACTAGAATAACAGCAGTGTTATTTAGTTAATGGTTGTATCTTTTCAATTATTAGAAAAATAAGCAGATGTGGTATGAATGCCAATGAGACAACCCTCCACCAGAGACCAAATGACACAGAAGTTAACAACTACAGGTCACCTTACGGCCTTCAACAATGAATAAAACCCATATCGCATAGTCAGTTATAAAAGGCACCGAAATGACAAATGTAAAACAATTAAAACGAGAAAACTAACGGCCATATTTATGTACAAAACAATGAACGAAAAACAAATATGATATACGGCAACAAACGACAACCACTGAATAACATGCTTCTGATTTGTGACAGGTACATACAGAATGGTGCGGGGTTAAACTAGTTTGCTGGCGCCAAACAAAGTGGTGTAACAGTACAACATAAACAATAAAACTATAAAAATCAGTTGAAAAGGGCTTAACTCATCAGATCGATACAAAGCAGAAAAACACATCTAACAAAATCACAGACCACACGTGGCAGGCCTAGGGTATTTATACATTGCCACAACAAAAAATACACTAAGTACAGACCTCAGAGTACTCAATAAAGGCAACAGTAGTATACCGCTGTTCAATAGTCGTAAATCGTTTAAGCGAAAACAAATCCGGGTTACAAACTAAAACCGAGGGAACACATCAACTATAAGAGGAAAACAACGGAACAACAGAAACACTGAACTGCAACAAAAACATACGCCAACATACACAGAAACGGACTATTTGATAACAACTACCATATTCCTGACTTGGTACAGGACATTTTAAGAAAAAATGGTGGGTTGAACCTAGTTTTAAGTCTAGCCAAACCTCCCGCTTATATGGCAATGTTAAAAATACCGCAAAAATGACAACATTACGTGACAGGAATACAGTACAAATTAACACAAGAACACTCCGGACAGAAAAATACATAAATAAATAATATAATAGTACATTACAACATGTAAACCACAGATAACAAAAGACACCTCCCATGAATTTACGACAGTACACCAGGACACCACAAACGAAGTATAAACTGCGTGTCACACGAGTGTATCAACGCCACAAAAAGTGACTAATTTTTTGTGACGTTTATATTATCACAGGTTAATTTCTAACAGTTGCTGACATGTTGACAGCTAGTTCAAAGCCAATAACAACTAATAAAAAAGTCATGCATCTAAGAATAAAATATCAATTAGCACACATTCAACGTCCGATGAATATAGTGTAAAGACGTCATCAGCAGTCAGAAAAAAAACATGACTTTGTGCAATTCCAAGATACTGGTATCGACAGATTGTACAGCTATGAACGTGCATATGTATATATACATGTAACACCAATATTTAGTTTGATTTTAATTTACCGATAACAAAATTGCGCTATTTTACAAATATGTGAAATTTTTTGTCAATTGCAGCTTTAGAAATTGAAAGCCCACCTCCAGAAGTTCTTGCAACTGAGGGTGAACCACTTACATTACGTTATAAACTCCCAGTAGATAACGTCCGACTTCATTTTTTCAAAAACAACTATTACTTAGCGGAAACAGAAAATATAACAAAAAAGGTTGATGGTGTTATACATTTGCTGAGAATCAACTATGTTTCATTGAAAGACGAGGGTCATTATTGTGTAAAATTGAACATCGATAAAAGCATAGGCAAAGACACTAAGCTAACCATACAGTGTAAGTTGCCTCATTTAACGTCTTCGATATATGTTTATTGTTATTTTTTGTTTCATTATTATGATAATGAGCTTCACACAAAATTACATACTTTTTTATATTCGCAAAATGACTTCATTGTAGTGTGTGGTTCTATGATAATTAACAACATTATAATTAAGTGTTGCAATATGAAGACACGTTGAGACAAACATGCACAATTTGCTCAATATGTGATAACTTGAAAATTAGAAAAAAAAAAAAAAAACAATACTCATAGAAAAACTCATCGAAGAATTCAAATATGGAACAATATTCAACGATTGACCGAACAACCCATTACATCACGAATGCGCGAAGCACATGAGTTAATTATCAGTGTTGTTTGGTCACGGGGTGAATATTTTTCGACATTTGAATTCTTTTTATTACATTGACAATGTTTTTTTTATGGGAATAAAGAAGAAAATATCAGGAACTACTGATATCTTTTCCTACGCATTCACAATTTGCTTTGATGTAAAGTCATCGAGTTTATTTCACATGTGGAATTATCGGTTTTATTTCACTGGGAAATCTCGCCAATTCATTGCAACCAATGTAATAAAGCTATATAACCAAAGAAGAATCTATTACATGGTATAATTGTTAATTCTAATATGACGTTCTTCAAACGCTTTGAGTACACACCCGTGGTGATACAATATATATGTCAGCTGATCGGCAACGTCATGATTTGTTTGGGCTGATTCAATCCTACTTCACGTCGTATGCTTTTTATGAATGAAGTTACCCGAGATCAGAGATCACATAAAAAAACATTGATAAGAATTTGTTGAAGGCCCATTTTCTTAAGTAAAAGTAAGATAATCATTTAACTTCATCCAAGCCTATCTTATTATGTTATTGTAAATGGTTTAACCATGTCACTAATTCAGGTTTCTTCGTATTCGTCTTATACGTCAATTTAAATAGTGTGTTGAATTACGAGAACAGTTAATATTTCCCGTCAATTAGAGCGATTCGACCCAAAAGAATTGCCGTCTGTGTCCTATTAGAACATTGTAGAATAGAAAGAATTCATTAGGGCTTAAATTAATATTGTTTTTACCACGGGTTTTCCCTTGGTGCCGATAATTTTTACCTTTGCTATCGCTCGAGGTAAAATACTTAGCGTATACGGCCAACCTGTAGTTAAATCAATATGAATTCAATCCCCCATGCATTATTGCTTAATGATTATTGTCACCGATTGTCTCAATACCAACTGCGACATATCAGTGAATTATTACTTGTCATGAGCAACACGACGGACGCAACATGTAAATTCAAAGAATACGGTGTGTGACATCTTTTAATTTAAATGTTGCCTCCGCCGTGTTGCTCATGACAAGAAATAATTCACTGAATTCGTGGCATCTTAAATATTAAAAAAAATACTATATAAATCGGAAACATAAAAAGGGCTTAACTACATAATACTATTAAAAAACAAGTAAAAGCAAAAAGGACGGAAGATACCATAGGGACAATAAAAATTATCAGTCGTAAAAAAACCCACACAATACTATGGCCAAAAAGAAGATCATGAACAAATTAGTCATAGAAAAACTAAAGATTGAGCTGCATGATGGATAGGTTAAGATAATTCTACCATTTCATTGCACGGAAGTAAACAGAACGATCTTTTTTGTTTGTTTATGTCCAGTTATATTTTAACATGCAACTCCAGGTGATGTAATTGTTTTAATGGTATTACACCTGATCCTATTGCTTTGTTCTACTTATTGTTTACGTTGACAAAATTCATCAAATATACCAGGTTGAACATGGTTAGAGCTTCAAAAAAAGTAACTGTACTCGATTGCATTTGCGTTCATTAATTTAATGTTCTACTTGAATCTTTTTAATAGTCTATTTTCGTTAAAAAAAACCATTGGGAACACCATTGCACTTATATCATGTAATACTATATGGGTGATATACAAATAATAACAAAAAATAATGGTGGTAATACGTAAGGCCGATGTTATGTTAAGAAAAATTATCCAGGTTTAGTCCAAAACCGTCAAAAGTTATAAGGATGTAATGGAGATATTACAATGATGGTATTAGTGCCAACGTGTGCCTATATCGTATATAGGATTTAGTTCTTCATATTATAATTTGTTATCAAATACGTTTTTATTACATCTAAACACTTTAGCGCTTATATTGACTCCTTCATATAAACAATAATATGCGAAGTACTTCAATGAATGATTTATTTCCATATTAGAAAATGATAAGTAATGTTATTTGAAATCAATATCAGCTCTTAAATATAGGCTAACATACGTTTTACAATTTGCTCTTATAGAAACATCGATTGTTTTCCAAATGGTTTCACTTAAGATGTTCATTTTGATAATAAATTTTCAAAAAGCTATCAAATACAAGAATGTAAGATCTTCATAGCTATCTATTTTACCTGATGCCACAAATCCCAACACAAAGAATGATCAGGATTTTTACAATGCACTATTGATTAAAAAAGTTAATTGAGACCCCATTTATTGCAGACTAAAAAGGGAGAATCACTCTTTTATTTAGAGCCAGTCTGACAGAAAACCATGCAATAGACTCCGAATGCAATGTTATAATATTTTGTATACATGATACCTTCATTGCAACTACTCTCTGTGCAAAATATTTTTCAAAAATATTCAATGACAGTCTCTTTATGGAGCGTTATCATTATATAGCAATTTATGGTCAAAATAGAGCTGAAAATTAGCCAATGTCAGTCTTTATCAACTTCTGACTGTTTTATTGGTAAAAATATGTTGTAATACTGTATTTTAACTGTCAAAATATGTTGAAACCTGAGGTTAAATTCTTGTCCTATATTTGCTCATTCTATTCTTAATATCCGAAGTTTTACAAAACTACTAAAATGGTGAAATTTGCTAATTTTTAAAAGTCTATATTTTCTAAAGTGACAAAAATATTTTATGCCATATATTTTTTTTCTTAAACCCTATCATATATCTACAAATATCAAAAAATCTAATTTCAGAAAATGATCATAGTACTCAATGTAGAATTATTAGTTTGGAAGGAATTGTGATTTAGCAGGTGTTATCCTATATTAATGATATTTCTCCTATTTGGACCCAAACTACCCTCGGGGGCCCCACCTTGTAGAAAATAAATATGGTATTTGACGCACAACTGAAATATTTAATCAATATTTCATACAACTTTCACATTAAACCCTTAATTGGTTGCGGAGGAGTTGCGGACTGCAGGTAGTTACACTACACCACTACTGATTTTCTCCTTTTAGGTCCAAAGATTTCCCCATAAACCCTCAATAGATAAAACAAACATATGATGCACAATTTTACAACCCTCACAAGACATAGCATTAGTTTGGTTTAAATCTATTCTGTACTTTGAGAGGACTTAACGATTGTAGACATATTACAAACAAACAGGCAGACCAACAGACATTATGATTATTATATATCCCCCAGCTATCACTAGCATGGGTATAATAAATCTCTTTGCAAAAGAACCAAATAGATTCAGGAAAGCCAATAATTACAGGTCAAGCTAGCCCTTTTGGTCTGTTTAATAATTTGTTAAAAGAATAACACTTGAGGGGTTAATGTTTCTTCACTATTGTGGATACTCGTATGAATCTTTCAAATGGAATAAGACATGTGGAGAACATTTATCAACTCACTAATTACCATATCTAAATTATAAAGGAGGGATGTGTTGTATAGATTTATGAAACAATATCTTTATATATTGTGTACTTAATAAAATCCCAGCAAATTAACAGATATTTAGTTGCTGTTTTTCATCTAGAGGTCACAGTGGTGCTTTCAACATGTACAAAAAGCTCACACCTCACTGCAAGTTCAAAAGACCCCATATCACTTTTAACTTCATCTAGACTTTAACTGTCGGATTTTTAAGTACATAAAATAACATGTTTCAAGCATTTTCATTTTATATCAATTCAAAATACATGTATCAAGGCAATTAATACTAGAAAGTAAAACAGTAATACAATGACGGTGGCATTTTTTTGTAGTTACACTGTACTGTTTCTGCAAGAAAAATGAATGTAAAGTTGAAATGTCTATGCTATCTGTATAATTATATATGTTGCCCAGTCTGCAGAAACAACATGTACTGGTATGTCATCACTTAACATTCTGCCTAGGTGTTTTGCAAATCTTCATCATCAACTACATTCAAATTCTTAATTTTAACTTAAGACGACTTTGCTGGATCTTTAGATCCAATTTTGACAAATTTTGCAAATACACTCCAAACTTGAGATGTGATAACCACTCGTCAGAATAAAATTTCTTTCTTTCATCATCGCCTAAATAGTTTCAAATTATCAAAGGTTTGATAAAAAATGGTCTTTTTTTATAGCGCTGCATTCTACTTTTATATCATGTAAAATTTCCTTAAACCTACTACTAAACCTTTCAATGGCTAACAGAAACCGTAACAGACCATCCTTCTTCAATATTCAAATTAGTTATCAAAACTGATTGTAGCAAAACCTTTGTGCTCATGAATATCATCTACACATGTCTCAGCCCAGAGAAGTTTCACTTTGTAATAACTATTTTCTTTGTTGGCATATACATGCTTGCCTATGCATATATGCTATTTTAAGACGTGAGGTTTTTGTATAAACCTTTATGAAATTTCGCTCAGGACAAGCAAATAAGGGTTCATCATCTGAATCAGTGTCGGCTATTACATTTGGTCTTGGATAATATTCAGTTTCTACTATTTCATTATATCCTATCTAATTTGTCTTTGTAATGAGTGTAATTAACAGAGCCTGGTACGAAAGATTTCTTTTTATAATTGAAATGTGAGTTCATGCCCTGTGCACATTTTTTATTTTTCTACTTTTCTTATGTGTAGTTTTCGTCTTTTTTATGGGTTGGAAAAACCGCATCGGTGGTCTCGTGGCACCGTGTTCGCCTCGAGGGCGGGAGGTCGTGGGTTCAAACCCTGGCCGCCGGGTAAACCCAAAGACTTTAAAATTGGTATTTGCTGCTCCTCTGCTAAACACGCGGCATTAAGGAGTAAGAGCAAAAACTGGTCAACTCGGAGTCAGAATAATGTGTCCAGGTAAGGAGACATGTCTTCCTGGGGAGTGTTACCTTGTGAACTAGCACGGTAAAAATCCGGCTCAGCGTGTCAGTCTAGTACAAAGAAGGTTAATATTCATATTACATTAACATGTTCACGTCCTGAATATGCATAATAATTTGCCGCTGGACGTAAAGCAGCCATCCATCATTATCATCATCAAATTCATGAATGTATGCTAGTATAATTTATCTAGCTAATGTCAAAATTGACCAGGACCTGAAAATAACCAAAGATAAAAATCATCAAGAACTTGGTCCACCAAGACAATGCATATTTTCATTAACGGGTATGCAATCCTATCCGGATAAATTAAGTTTCTTCTTTTATCAGATGATGTTTCTAAAAGTTGGAACAAAGTAAGAGAAACAGGGAAACGAATCTTAGTTCATAATCTGTTGAAAATTAAATCAAAGTCATACAACTCTTGATATGAGCAGATTGTTACGATCATTGTGACGTGAGGCTGGTTCTGGATACTGCATACACATGATATATATGTAGTATAAAACTTGCAAAACGAAACAATGAGAGGAAAAAATAAAAACTTATAAATTGAAAATTAAAAAAAAAAAAAAAAAAAAAGAAAATGCATAATTAAAATATATCTCTATAAGGAGTAGATTCCTACGAATATGAACAATGCAATTTGCCCCTTTAAAATTAATCTATCTATGTGTGTGTGTATTGAGGGAGGGTGTATTCTTACCTGTCCCTATGTTGATGAACTCTCCTGTCTCTAACTATTAGGCCTTTTAGAATCTCGGAGAGGCACCTCTGTCTTCTGTTGCCTTGCTGGAAGCTGGATGTTCTAGATTGCAACATATAAGTTTACTTAAGCTTACTCTCCAATAAATGCCAAACATAGTCACTGTGTTGCTGGTATACGTTTAACTGAAGCAATTTAGCATCAATATTAAAAAATCCAGTGCGATATGAAAATAAGTAAACTTTCCGGGTTTACTTGGACCTCTTTCCAGACACTGCAGTTCAATCACATGTATATGTGTGTTCTTATTCCATTGTGAAATAGGTATTGCGAGTGTGTCATTGTCATAATTTGGTTATTTTCCAAAAGAAATACCAGTAAAAATAAGAAGTCACATTTCTTGTTCTCCTTCTCCATGAAAGACAACTTATGGTAACATTATGTTTTCACAACAGATAATTTAGATAAGGTGAGATAACTCATAAAACACCTGTGACTGGTTTTTGTCCCTATTTCAGAGATTTGTTTGGCAATAATACATAAAAATAATGCCATTATGCATGTAAAAAGGTCTTAAGTTAATTCATTGCTTAGGATAAATGGGTTTTAATTAAATTTAAATAATTCAAAAATTTATCAAAATATAGGAAAGTTTGATGCAAATTTCAATATCTTGCAATAATTTGCCAAAATTTGAATTTTGATATTTTTGATAATATACATTGGTCTATTCACTGATGCTTATTTATGAAAAAGTAAATGCAACTTTGGGAGATTGATGGACTCAAACTTCCTTCAAAATTCATTGTGGCCTACACAGGCCTTCTTTAATACCCCTCGTAATAATCGTTCGAGGGGTAATTGAAGATGCTTTTTAGATTAGTTTTGCTCAGGTATGATGAAAAAATATGCTGCTATAATTGATTATAGTCAAAGGAAATAATTGCCACAAAATCGTAGAACGCTGTATTTGAATATTTAAACGAGACGTTTGAAAAACAAACTAGATAATGTAAGCAATCCAGTTTTTTGCAGGATCCTGTACAATAGATTTTGATTCCTTTCTTCACCCCCGTTTTTTCCTCTTCTATATTTTTGTACATTTTTGAAAAACGTGCGTGATGGTTAACGTAATCTTCAATGCGATTTCAATGGCTTAAATACGCAAGCATTTTTCATTTTATACTGGTTTTGTAAAAATAAGATTCGATTGACTCAGTCTGATTTAAAATCATTTGATGCTTCAAAATAAAAAATAGTTGAATATGTTTTATACACTTGAATAACTAAGTTTTACCATAAAACACGTGTACAATAATATCTTTAATAGAAAATCCTTTATCTTATTAAAATCTTCATAAATGTACTGCTATTGAATTATTGTCTTCCAGTACTCTCATTCATTGATAACTTTTCCGTATGCAGTGACTTAACCACGAGACCTCTTGTGGGTACTTCGTCAACCATACAGCGAAAGTGCGAGGGAAAAACCTAATGAAAGAAAGATAAACATACGTGGAAATCAGAGAGTGTTAATTGTGTGATTCTGAAAGAAAAAATTAATACACCAAATTATTATAACAACTGTTGTAATAAATAGAAACGCATTCACGTGCTCTATGATTATGTGTTGATTGTTTATTCAGGTCATAAACTTCGGCAATAAAGCACGACAGTTAATTAACAGGGAAAGTTTTTTACTGAATGAAATATTTTTTGTCGATTATATGGATTTGTAATAATTGTAAAAAAAATCGTGCATGAAGGCCTTAATTTAGCATATTATATATAAATGCATTGGTTCAACTTTTTTCTTAACATTATAATTTCAAGAAACTCGTTTCTTATCACTTTAACAAGACATTGTTAAGAAAAGTTCCGAGGTCTGGTTGATCTGGAAAAAATATCATAAAAAGTCCATTTTACAAAGCTTGTTTTCAAGCTACAGGTAGTGCGAGATTCTAATTTTTCATGAAGACAATATAGAAATAAACTTGTTCACTACATATTTTTCTTGTACTTGTTCCTTGAAAACAAGCTTCATTTTTGGAAACTATTAACTACTGCTCTCATGTTCTACGTGCCTGTAGAATTTTCTCTAGTGCTACGTTTTGAATTCCCAAATGAGAAACAATAGCCATCATCATCCTGGTCAAATCGATAATAAGATACTATCTTTGAAATATCTGTCCTAGATAATCGCGTGCTATAAACTTAATTTTGTATCGTGTGATTTAGATTGCCACACTTCCGTCTTGCTATATGATAAAATATAGGCATTCTTACTAAATCCTCAAAGGTTCAACAAGGAAAAGAAAAAAAAATAGTGTAAATAAATAGTCTTCTGCATCAAAAATACATGAACACTATTTAAAACATATCACTCTGTTTCTTTAAACAGATTTGCATATCATTAAGACATCCAATTTTTAAATTTTGTTTAATTTTTTTTTGTAATCGGAACTGTAACAAAGAAAACAACAACCATAGTAGTAAACACATACAGTTTTTACCAATATGGATCTGAGTTATGCTGCTTTGTCCGAAGAATATCGTTTTAATCAACTAGAACTGTCAAAAGATGGAAAATCATACAACTTTGAAATTTTCGTCGCCTCAACCCTCCTCAACATATCTATTCACAACTTTTAAGACTGTTGGAGTTTGATACAATATTAATTTTGAACGATGCTTCTCTTTGCGAGTTAGAATTACTCTCAAAATTTGAACCAAACACACGCACATCGGTAAAAAGGTTAGATACAATTTTCCAGGGGATTGTCTATAATAACTGAACAAAACATAATGGTTTTGGAATCTTAAAATGTTCGCTTTTATTATGTTCTGTTTCAGCAATGTTCACATTGGAATGTACAGATACGACTTGTATCGAAGGGGATAATTTGGAACTGAAATTCTCACTTTTTTCGGATATACTTGATGTTAGATGGTTTAAAGACGGAAATGAAGTAGAACGAAATGATAATATATTAATAGACCGGGATGGAAGAGATCATACTTTAACAGTTCCACATGCAAGTATGAGTGATGCTGGACATTATAGTATTACGGCAGGGAAAGTGCAAAAACAAGTTAAAGTAGATGTTAAAGGTAACGATATAAAATTTGTTTTTTAACATTCTAAATTTAAAACAAATCTGTCGATGTTTGCTGTTTTCTGTATACGTATGCAATATCGGTAATTTGCACATATGTCGTTTATTTTCCTTTTATGTTCTATACAAATATAAAAGGTATAACTCGATTTATTCGATCACTTCAATTATACTTCTACAGAGAGTTTGTATATCACTTTCATGCAAAAGAAAGTCTAGAGTTACCAAAGGGACATTCAAATTCATGAGTCGAACATAAACTGACAACGCCATGACAAAAGAAAGAAAAAGACCAAAAACACAAACAACAGTATACAAAACACAACATAGAAAACTAAAGACTAAGCAACACGATTCCTACCAAAAAAAACCGGTGGACAAACGAAATAAAAAAAGTGGGTATACAGTATTTAAGTATATATCTCTTAAGTCTAGTAACGTTCCGAGGTCTTTTTTTATTAAATGTTCATAAATGAATTTAAACCCTTTATATTTCAAAAGCGTTGTTTATACGTTCCCTGAAGAATGAAATGATAATGGAGGGCCTAGAAGTAAGTTTTGACTGCGAAGCAGAACAATCGTATACAGCAGTATGGTATAAAGACGGTCATGAAGTAAAATCTTCGTCCAATATTACAATAGCGACGATGCAAAACGGAAAAGTTCACAAGTTAAATATTCTAGTGACGACTATCGAAGATAAAGGAAAATATGAGATAAAGATGAAAGATATATTAAAGGGTGCAGTTCTTGACGTAAAAGGTAATTTAATATTAAATACATACAAACAATATTCCGTTCTACGATTACTTAAAAAATATATATGTTGCTATATCTCTTTTTTAAAGTTTGCATTCATAGCATATGCCATTATAACACAATCGTATACAAGTTTTGGTTTTTATGTGAGTATGACTGCAATTGGCAAGTTTTAATATAGAAATGCAATTTATTTGAATGCACGCAAGTTAAAAAGGGGGCATGCGTTTGATTTTATCTAATACTTATTTTTGATATACAACGTTTGATTTGATAGTGTTTTCCTGTGAAAGACATGAAGATTATGATCAGATCACAGGTAGGGTGATCATTCAGAAGTTTGGAGCATCTTTCCAATAGATGCGGTCGCCATGGCTTTTTCCTATTATTATTTTGTTATACAAGAATATCCAAACTCATATGTCGAAGAAAAAATTGATAAAGCACGTCAAAAGGAAAACACCACTAAAAGAAACCAACAGTCAACAAAACATAGAAAACTAAACACTGAGCAACACGAACCCTACAAAAACAGGTGGTGTCTTTAATAAATGTACAAATCTTTCCGTGTAGTTTTCATTGTTATTCAACGCAAAAATAATTATCTAAGAGACCTGGGACGATCTCATTTCATAAAGGATTGCTTTTTTCTACATAAGGAAATGCATGTAACAAGTCAGGAATATGACAGTTGTTTTCCATTCGTTTGATGTGTTTTTAGCTTTTGATTTTGCCATTTGATAAGGGACTTTCCGATTCGAATTTTCCTCGGAGATCGGTAGTTTTGTTATTTTACTTTTGTTTACTTATATTACCTCGATCTTATTAACCCGGTGTAGGTCTTTAAGTTGAGGTTCAATTTACTAAAAGTTAATCGGGGACGACTTATTAGACACGCCCCCTTGAAAACAGGGGGTCCATAATAGGATTGAAAAAAAGGTAAGGAAAATACCATCATTTACAATTTCAAAGAAAAAAAGTGCATTTGATTGATCATTCCAAAATAAAAATATACGGTATTAGAGTGGAAATTCAAACCTTTACGACACCTTTGGGAAATAATATACACAATAAGAACAGATCGTATTAACTTACATGTTCAGATGGCCATCATTGCCTCATTTGTTTTTATTTTCGTATACCGTGGATAGAAAATCGGGGAGGGGGGATAAATAGCTGACCTTATAATATAGTTCAATGTTCGATCTTATTCTTGAAAGGTTTATTTTTGCGCGTCTTTGAGATTGATGTTTTATCAGAGGTTGAAGCCCTAAGGGATCATAATTAAACCCTTAAACAAGTTTCAGGGTGTTTTTTTTTTTTGTCTTAATTTGTCTTAGTCGAAAATACAAGAAATGGATAAAAGACTCTTAAAGACATTTTAGATATCTATTTCTTTTTCTTTTTTTATCTATTATAGGTTACAGTTTATATAATGTATATTCAGATATACTCAATACTATAATTACAAAAAGGAGTCGACTACCCATCTCTATTGACACAAACCCTTCAAAAAAATTGACCGCCATTGGATTATTTTTTTCTAAGGCGAGCTTTGTATCAAATTTTGTCAATCTAGCTGGTTATACTATTGACATATCTGTTGAAGTGCAAAGTCAATTCATCGCTGGTCTATATGACCCCATGAGCAATGTTAAATCAGTTCATGGTGATCTCAATAAAGTCATGAGTGATACCAGCGCTATCTTAGGATGCTTACTTAGTGAGACTACCTCCTTCAGCTGCATCATTCAGACAACAATTTCTTCGAGTTTCACTCATAATTGTACGTCTGGATGAATGCTCATATCGCCAAATCTCAACCTAGATCAACTTTGGAATATGGATGGAAAATGGGGAATAGCTCCATAGATCCTGTATATTTTGAAAATCCAATGTCCTCTGACTTTTTACAGGACTTTGTTTGTACATGCAAAGACAAAACTAGTTATAGCAAATATTGCGTCTGCTAAGAACCGAATTTGTCATGCACAAACATTTGTTGTTGTCAGTGCAGTGGTGATTGTAGAAACTAGCTTACTAATCAGACTGTTTCAGAAGATTGTTACGATAAGGATGATGATTGAATTATTTATCTCAATGCCCAATATGTCATGTTTTCTGCTGCTAGCGGACTCCAAATTGACGTGTTTGGGGAGCTCTCTCGCTCTAAAAAAGACAAACCAAACAATCAAATCTGCCAGTGGTCTCAATTGGTGCGCTTTCAAACCGATATTTTTGTATCGAATATTTAGGAAGAATAGCATACCATGACATCGACATATTTTTTTGTTAGTAAAAAAAAATGTATACCGTTACCTTTTCAGATGAACGTGCATATTGATGTCTAGTGTTAGTTTAATATATACCTAGATAGCTCATAATTTTTAGTAATATCCCTATGAATATATATCGGGCTTTATAATCGGTTTGGATCAAGTCTGCTATATATTCCATTGTTTTTGTTGATTTTTATTAAAAGGGGACACACTTTTTCAATTTGCTTTTACTCTTGAACTGATTGACCTATTTACATAAAAAAGCATCATATACTATCGTGTTGATGCTGACATTTATGCATCAAGACTATTTTGTATAGTTCCAACATTCCTTTATGTTTAGATAACAAATAATGAATTTCATCACTTTTTCATTGAATCATGGACCGGATGTTAACTTTACAGTACTAATTTCTTCTTTGTTCTTAATGGGATCTTAACAAAACTTTCCCAAAAATGTCTTTATATGTTGTCATATACTATTGCATGGCTAAATATTAAATATCAATATTTTTTTACGATAATTTTCGTACATAAAGATAATGTTTTTTCATTTTCTTACATGTTGGAAGCAAGGCGTTATGTGAATCTTATAGTGTTATATGACTTTTGTCCACTTTTGATAAAAATGGAAATAACTATATATTTGAGATCAAAATGCTATTTTTCAAATGACACAAAAACGTAAATGATATTGATAATATGAGGATGGAAAATGTTCAAACTGGACAAGACAAGTCAAATGAAAATGGGTCCTTAGGAGCCACTCCTATTCCTGCCATTATAAAAAGTTCAAACGTCTTGAAAATGGTTGACATCCCCATAACTTAACCATATATTTTATGTAAAGAAGAATTCTTAGATATCTAAGGTAAGTCAAAAGGGTTCATCCCCGTCCTGACATTTGGAAATGTTCAAATTACTTTGATCCTCACCCTCACCATAAACCATACAATTTCTTGTTTGTCATATCATAATGAAATGAATGAAATATAATGTGTTTTCTATAAGGGCCACTACCTTCCCCTTATTTAAAAATGTTAACGATATCTCAAAATGAATGAGATTCCCAACCCTAAATCATAAAAGTTTTTGTTTGAAAAAGCATTTATTGATATATAGGTGAGTCTCCAGGATCATTCCAAGCCCTCTGTCATTTAAAAAGTTTCATATATCTTGTAAATGGTTACATAAACATAAACCATATATTTTTCGTGTTTGACATACTAAGTTGCATTGAATGCTAAAAAGAGTAAGTCCTCAGGGTCATCCCCACCATTTTCATATGAGAATGTCCAGTCGTTTTTAACAACAATTTAACATTCATCATTTAGTTTTACATTTAAATCTAAAATTGGTTTAATTTTACGAAAAATATTTTACACGGCATATAGCTTTAGATAAGTTCAAAACAAAACAAACAAAAATGAAGCTAATATATTCGACAATTCCGTGGTAAATAAATCGTATGTTCTCTTAGAGTTCAAGATAGAATAGAGAAGGGAAACGGGGAATATGTGAAAGGGACAACAACCCTACCAAAGAGCAGAAAGCAGCCCAAGGCTAGCAATGTGTCTTCAACGCAGCGAGAAAATCCCGCACCTGGAGGCGGACTTCAGCTAGCCCCTAAACAAGAATGTATACTAGTTCAGTGAAATGAACACTAAACTTAGAAACATACACATAACCTAAATTGATAACAACACGAGACTAACATAGGCTAGAGGTTGCTGACTTTTGTCAGGAGCAAAATTACGGTGGGGTTAAACATGTTTTTTTGGATCTCAACCCTCCTCTATAACTCTTGCCAATTCGAAGTAAACAAACACACATAAAAAAGCACAGTTAAACTCAGTTTAAAAAGAAATTCCAGTCCAATGTTAAAATAGGTAACAGAAGAAACTAAGCAAATTGATAATGATCAACATAAATTAACAAAGGACTACTATCAGTAATTGACATGTAAGCTCCAGACCTCAATTGAACCGATCAAAAGATTATGTCTGCATCATATGGAAATCAATCACAATCCCTCCCTAAAGGGGTTAAGTATCATGCCATCATAAATTATACGAGAAATACATAACCCGTATCATGCCAACAACTTGTATGAGAAAAAATGTGTTTATTTCTGATGCAAAGACCGTATGAGCGAACCAATATTCATTCAAAATAAAATACCATTTTTAATGACTTGACAAAAGTATCGTAACTATATCCCTTGTGAATAAGTCTGTTTAAAGGTTTGGTAAGCGTTTGATGTGAATGATTACATTCTTGTGCTTTTTATAGAATACTACCATACAGTGTGGGATGTAAAACACCTAAACGTGTAAACTGTCTGCAAGTTGATTTATATTTACGAACGATATCCTTGTACTGATGATAAAAATTAGTAAAAGATTTGACAAGTTTGTGATATCGAAAACCCAGGTGTAAGTGAAGAACGGGCTTCTGTTTTATCGTTATCGTGGAATAAACTTTTTGAGAAAGGATGGAATGTATGACTCATATCATGATATGTACAACCTTCTTCTTAAAGGTTCTTCCTGGTGATGACTTTTTGTGCGAGGTACTCGAATTGTATCATGATAGGTTGAAATTTCTCTGATTGAATTATATTCCAATTTATATTATTATTTTGATGTTTTATCAGAATATTCGCTAAAAGATCCGATGATTGATAACCTGTTGAAGTATATTTACCTGTGGTCATAGGTGATT